TTACTCTCAATCCGTAATATTAACCGTTTGCGATCGTATGTCTGCTCTCAACCACCAAAGCAACGAAACCATTCTGATTCCCCGCGTATTTTCTCTCCGCTTCGTCTTGAAGAAAACAAGAATACAATCTAAACAACAAAACCACGCAACAATACCATTCAAATAGAAAAGGAAATTTTATCTTTATAACCGTGCACTATATTATTAGTGTTCGTTCAATGAAAATAAATTCCGACCAGCTGTATAATCCACGTGTCGGTTAAGTACAACCGTGAAATGACTTTGTTGCCGACGGATCGAGAAAAACACACCGAACGAAATTAAACAAAACGCGATAGCAGACACACGAATCATAGCGAACAACCATCGTAAAGGAGATGACGAGGGGAAGATCGTGGCGGAAGGGAGGAACCCGTCGAGCCGTTTCGCGAAACGGGGCTGGAGGGGTATGATACCGGGACAAGCCGGAAACAATGCCCTGAGACCGCGCACGTAATACAATATCGCGAATGGTTACGCGTATCATTATCCGCCGGCTGTTATCGCGCCCCGGGTACGACACACTACGCGCGAGAACAGAAAGAACGATTTTCGCAGTTCGATGCCTACGTCCCGGCCACATTATCGTCGAGCAACTCGTAAAGAGGGTCGGGATCTGTTGAAAAGCCAATGAGACCGGGGGGGGCTGGTAGTTTCGCGAGAAGATAAAAAAATCGACGCGTTGAAATGTTGGTTTGAAGGCTCGACGTTACAATCGTTCGTTGATAAACGAAGATGACCTGCGAGGATGGAATATGCAGGTCCTTTCATACACGAGATTACATCATTTTTTTATGCGTGAAACACGATCCACAAACGTCGAACGTGTTAGAAAACAGTTGCTCGGTTTAATGGAGGATATACACTTGTTGTCTCACGAAATAGGATCGAAAGGTTGAGAGCTGGGAATAAAAGTCTTGATATCGTTATGCTGAAAGGGATTTGTTCTTGAAATGTTATATTCGTTCAGGCATATATACATCTCCTACATCTTCCACCAAATTCCATCCAAAGAATAAAAAGTGTTATTAAAAGATCGGTTATTAAAGGACTCCTATCTCTCTTTACCTCACAGTGTCCACGATTTTTCCCCCAAAGAATGCACAGTTTCCCATAGCGGTGACGCACACCTGGCACACAGCCTCCTCGAACGGAAGAAAGGTTGTCACGGTCTTTAAGAGGCATTATTCGACGTTTTCGAGGTTTTTAGAGGAACCTCGCCTACGGTCAGAGAGTTCTGCCTGTCAGCGATCGTTTGGCTCAAATTGACCGCGTTCCCTTTCAATACCGAATGGCCCCCTTCCCCCTCCACGCGATTGTCAAAGTTCATCGGACTGTGAAAGACATGGGGCCGATATTGTATGGGAATTTCATTGGTCTCTACCTACCAATCACGATGCCTGCTGGCCCGGCCGGTAATCGAATAAATAGCACGATCGATCTCACCCGGCCGAATCAACGAAACGCTTCATTAAGTCGGAGGGAAACTGACTTTCGAAATGATCGAGCTTGAGGTGCACCAATTTTTTCGTAAAATTCTCGGATTCGAGACGATCTATTGCTTCTTCCATTCGATACGTTAGCAAGTTGGTTGGATCAATACGATACATTTTATATCAGTGTTGGTATACGTTGGCATTTGATTCTTTGGCAAATATAGTTTTGAATCGTATGATTCCTATTTATATATTAACGTCAAGTTATAATTATTTTAATTATTATAATTATACTAATTTCGTTCGAACCCTTAACCACAAACACGTGGGAACACTCGCCTTTGTTCAAATAATCCAGAGAATTCCAGGAAATTCCTCACAATAATAAAAAGTGTCACAATGTAATCATTGTCGGATAATTAATCTCCGAGACGAGTAGTCCGTAGTTAAGGGTTAATTATTCCGTAAATAGAATGCCATGTTTACGATCTCCACAAACACATAAGAATCAATCGTATGACAACGTCCGGACCACGTGCTCGATAACTGTACCAAAAAACGCGGTGCTCGAATGATCCCAAGGTAAAAAGAAAAGGTGTATCGAATTGTCGCGAGTCAGATCGATACCGATCGAAAGAACGAATTAGCCTCTCGAAATTCCGCGAACGTTTCCTCTGAAAGTCACCGGAAAGCGACGCGATCCCTGGAAAACGCGCGCGGCGGTTCGCGGGTACCCCCGCAACGGCGCAGCTTGACGATTCCGCTTGTCCCCGGGACGGAAGTGACGTCGCCCAGGCACCGACGGAAATTCGTACTGGAAATTCCGATGGGTTCGAGAGAGGTCGAGGAAGGGAGAAGAGGGCAACAATCAGGGTAGACCCGGCATTACGCCCCATTCATCCCCTGCTCCGCCGTCGTCCGTCCCCCTCCCTCGCCCCTTTACCGCTCTCGAACCGTATTTGGCTGACAATTCTTCATTTGCGTGCAGCAAACTCTCTACAGAGCGGCATAGCGAAAGGTTTAAACGGCTCGCAAAAGCCAGGCTAAATTTGACTCCAATTTGCCGGCTCATTCGTGCAACGATCGGAAACAAAATGCCTCGAACGTTCAATTTTTTCCTTTTTTCTCTTCACCAACCACCCACCTTCCCCTTCTTTACCCATCCCCTACTTGCTCTCTGGCCCCCTCTTTTTTGTTTCTCTCTCTTTCTGTCTGTTCCACATGGAAGATACCTCTTGCGATCCGCTGACCGAAACCCCCTCCCGTCGATACGCGCGCTTTTTCCAAATCAACCGGCATTGTCTTCCGTGCGCGAATTTTTGATGCGAATTCGGAACCGGTGAGAGAGCCGCAGATTTTTCCACCGATCCTCTATGACTGATAATGGAAAAGATACAATTCCGAAACAGAATCACGGTAGGGAAAATTGGAGCATTGCTTAGGACCACTGTTACAACTTGTGTGTAAGTTATTTGCACCGTATGATGGACGAGACATTAGGGGTGATTACATTAACTAATTTAGTGTACACGCAATACATATTGTCTATCATGTGGCGCAAATTGATTACAGAAATCTAGTTACAGTAGTGGTTCAACCTAGGCGATCGTACAAATTCAGGAACCTTTTCCTCTATGTACCCTCACGAGCAAACTCAGCTTCTGCTAGGAGAAAAAGTGGCGTTGCAGAAGAGCCTCCTAAAATTTGGTATTGGGAATTATTAAAATTTATGCCAAATTAACAATCGATTTAACATTTATTTCAGTACTTGAAATAAATTTACCAAGTGGTAGGAGGCCTTACGCCACTTTTTCCGGTAGTGGAAGCCGAGTTTGCTCGTGGGTGTACATATATTAGGGGTACTGAAATGTGATGTCGTTTGTTGTGATCCATCTTTTTAAATTTCTAAAGTAACTTCATGTGAATGTAATTATAGGTTTTTATAGATTAATATAACCTAGACAAAAGGTTGTCATAACAGATGGGGACTAGTTGATGAAGCAATAGGGTAAGTGACTAGCGCCTTTATCTGTACAGTAAATCCTCGATAAATGTTTGAAGGCTCCTCTGCACGGACAAGCATTTTAAGACTGTTTAATGAGGTGTACCACAGGGATAGTGCTTGGAATTCTGAAGACAATGATATTTCTTTCATATGGCAATTAGTTCATAAAATATTTAATGTGTAGTACCGAGCACCTTTCGAACACTTAACAAGGATTTACTGTACTTCGAAATTTGCAATGAAGATTATTTAAGAACAAACGTCATTTCTTTTCGGTAGCCCTAACAAATTAATTACGAAATCATCAGAGGTATAAATTCTTCTCTTACTACAGCGAAAGCTCGAGGGACAAGCTTGATCGACTTTCTTTTCGCGGGCGATTTGAAGACATTGCTACGGTTAGGGTCAGGCGGGCATTTTCAGTGCGGCACAGTTAGGTGTACCTACACGTATACCCACATACCGTGCGGGGACGTCACTTGGGCGGTATTGTCAGAAGCTGACTAGCCTACCATCCGGGAATACGAAATTCGTCGGTGGTTCCGCGATATTCCGACGAGCGTCAAGCCAACTTACTCGATGTACCTCGACACCGCCGCCCCGCGCAATCTCGGAGGACGCCGTGACGCGCTGGTTCCCAAATATTTTCTTTCCCCGACGACGGCTACGACGATCCTGCCGAATTCTATTCGACGAACGCGTCGCGGAACTGGTCGAGATTGTTTCTAACAAGGGAAGACACCGGAAGTGTCCCTCTCCGATTTTAATGTAACTTCGTATGTATGTTAAACAGTCAAAAATAAGGGATACGTATTTTTTTTTATCGGCTGAGACGCGACTTTATGGGGTGAAACCACCCCTTTGCCAGAATCATCCTCCGTATAATGATTTTCAGTATTTTTATACGAAAATGTTGTTCCCTGATACAAATTATTGCAAGTAAATATATAAAATAAATGATTGCTGTTCAATGAAATTCGGAAATTAAATCTCGTACAAAAAGTTTGTTCAGCATTTGCAATGCATTCTATTTTTTCAAGAGGATTCCGTCCCTTCTTGAATCGAGTATGTATGCACGTTGTGATAACGATCGTATTATTAATGAATAAAATAAATGATAAAATCGTTCATTACTTGAACGAATCGAAAATATTATCGAAATATGGACGCAATTTTGACGAAAGGAAATTTCTGTAAAATATTAACGATTTAATGATCTCTCGCGTACAATCGATAATTAATTAAATCTCCTTATGAAACTTTTATATTTCTATACACAAAAAAAAACATTTTTAATACCCGAAGTGTAGTAATTTTAGAGCCTTCTGCAACTTCAATTTCTGAGCATTTTCTTTACAAAAAACAAAAGGAACAGAAGAGCCAGTAAAGAAAAATATCGTTCGTTCGACACTATAATAATTGACAAACGCTTAAGATAATAAATTATATTTCGTAGAAATGACTCACCTTCAGTTCCTCCGAGAATTCGATTCAGGACTGCAACAACGATTCCGATTGCGACGCCATTGTTCGCGTCATGTCTGAAACACAAGATCGAGAGTAAGAAAGACAGTGGAATAACGAAGACTTCGTTCGCGCAACACGGTTCACTCTTAAGCAGTGAAGTTCGCGGGGGTTGGGCGAAGAAGGGGACCATCTTCAGAAGCGCAAAGTACGCCGTTTAACTTCCGAAAAGTGGAATTACAGAATAACGGGTACATAACAAGCCACATCGCGATCGAATTTGAATTTCCCTCAACTTTCGACACTGGACCCTCTTGCGCGGATCCTCTTAACGATATTTAAAGGGCACTCAAACTGCAGACGATGTCGCAATTAAGGACTCCGCCGGACGGAAGTTCTGCTTCCATAATGGTTCAACATTAACGGATATGTTCGTCGAAGTGATGAAATTGGTTATGATACCTTTGTGGACGAAAGATATCCTCTTCGTAATCAATTAAGTGTCGAATAACCGAAGCTCATCGATGTTATTTAGACTGCTGATGTGTGTTATGTAAATTCTAATCCTTGTTGATTAATTTTTGAAATAGGGACTTTAACTAGAACAGGTTCTATTTTGACCCTTGTATACTGTTCAATAAATTCTTCCATCACTATTCCTTGAATGTAACTTAGCCTAAGCGAGAATTTCTCATAATTCCGATTGTGCTCTGCACAACAGTCGACTGATATCGATACAAAATTTTTCTTACAATATACACGTTTTCGAGGCGTCAAACGTCCCACGATAAAACTGGTTCGTCCACACCACCACAACTGTAAAATGGAAACAGAGACCAAACTTAAACAGAAAAAATCTATCGATACAAAACAAAATAGAAACGCTCTTTTATGACACCCTGTACAAAGATATCCGATCGAAATCAGAACTGGGTATCGACGATAAATATGAAAAAAATTCGAAAGCAGCGGTGACCACCACTTCCCGATGCGACCAACGAGTGAAAAGTACTCGTTATCCTGCCGGACATCGTTCCACCAACCCAATAGCATCTCGTCGTCGCTCAGGTGGTCCAATTTGAGGTGACGCAAAGAGATAAAGGGAAGAACAAGCGGGTAGTACGAGGCAGAGGACACGAATCGTCGGCGGGTATATACGTAAAATTGATCCATATTAATAAGAACGTCGGTTCGCGTTCCCGGATTTTTGCATAAATTTGAATCGGCGTTCCGCGCGCTCGCGCTCGCGCACTGTCTCGCGGCAAGGGTTGCGAATTTGAATAATCGAGAATAATTCCCGAAGTTTTCTCTCGGTCGTGTAAACGGGGGAACAGGGTGGGGAGGCTCGTAATCAGCGGGCCGACATCGAAACATTTCATGATGTAACGTTACCACGGCGCAGCACGGATGTGCAGCTAATTAAACGGCCACCGCCGGGTATCAGGAGGGGGGGGGGGGATGAAAAAAGAAAAAATACGCTCGAGCTCGACGAATTTCCTTTCCAACCACCACCATCACTTCCCTTTCTTCGTTTTGTCCGGTTCCCTTTCGGTTTGGTACCGCCGGTGAACGCGGGGATCCGTCGTGTTTGCGATTTTAATGAATCTTAACCACGTGACGTCTCTCTCTTATTCTCTGTCGATATCTGTTTCGACCATTCTCGGGGCCCTATGGGTGAACACGTTCCTCGATCCTGATATTTTTCTACCCTGAGCGACGACGATTCAGAGCGGAGGAACGACGATTCACGGATCATTCTGCGCGTCTGCTGGGATTGTTAACCCTTTCGATATAGCTGCATCTGGCATGAAACGTATTTTACGATATGGTTGTACGGTACCGCACGCGTACTTTGGAGGAATATCACAGTTGATAATATTTCTGTGCGTTTAAATGTTGAATTGTAAATAATCTTTGAATAAAAACATGAGCGTTTAAAATAAAAAATTGAATCTATTTCAACGGTTTAAGAATTGTTTAACCCTTGTGTGGACAAACGGGTACCTATTTATATATCTATTTCCTATAACGATTTTTTATGTTCTTGTGAAAATATAGCGAAATCACTTCAGATCCTTATTGATTGGACGCTTTCACGTCGATGTACGTTTCCAAAATAAAAATGTAAGTAAAACACTATAAACATTAATGTACAGGGTAGTGTTACTTAAAGGGTTAATCGAGCGCAATTTATTTTGTAACATGAACGGAACGCAATGTGCCTGGGTGGCACTAAATTCATCGTAAGTGGTTTATTTTCATATCTATTTATCTGCGCTTAATTTCTCTAACCTAGACTGCTCCGTTTTCAAATCCATCGTGCTTTCATCTGTCTCTTCAAGGTCCACGCTGGTTCGAAGTCATTTGCATCGAATCGAAAGTGTCCAAACCTGTCTTTGAAAGAGTCCTATAGGGCCGAAAGTCATCTCTATATCAATATATAAAATGATCCATAACGGAGTCTTAAGATTGAAGAATCGTTAGTACGCAGTCTGAGGCTTCCCAATGTGTCCTACTTATCTACAAGCTAGCGTTCTAATTAATTCAGTAAAAAGTTGACTCTACATATAAACAATTGGCACGAAAAATAAATACCAAAGATTGCTGAATCGATGATAATACCCATATCAACAGCGTCCACCGTTCGATCGAGATTCAAGTTGCAAGAACGCCCGCAATGAACGTGGCCCGATCTTTTATCGCATAAAGGAGTACCACATTGTTGCATCAGACAGAAATATAATATGGTACGGCCGAGTACAAGAAACGATGCTTAACCGTTTTCATCTCGGTTATGCCGGGTAATCTGCGACCGTGGCGGCGGCGGCATCGTTCCTTCTCCCCGGGGCAGATTAAAGCGAATCTTATTATATCGAATGACGAGATCACGTGATCAATCACAAAAACACACAACGGAACTGTCGTGCCTCTAATATGAAGCGGAGGAAGACAGCGATACTCGAGGAACGGGGCCCACCCGTCGTGAACGTGGAATGTGGAACTGTACCGACAGGGCCGGCGATGCTTCTCTCTTCGCCCCTTATCGATCATTCCCTTCGTCTTCGTTTAAAACCATTTAGAATCTACTACGAAATGTAACGAAGAAATTCATACAATTTTTATTTTGCCCTGGTAATCGTGGAGAATGATTTCACCTCAATGAATCGTATTTTCGGCACGCTCTTTAGGGACTTCCCGTTTCCATCTGTCTGGTAGATTTTTACATTCATCGATATCAGGATATTTGTAACGGTATGAATTGCATTATATTTTCTAAACAGCCTATTTCCCAAAAAACAGTTCACGCACGTTAACTACCTTTTCGTACCCCAGTACACATACAATAAAAAAATCATCCACCTATCGGGTTGCGGTTAAACAATCTTCCTCGGCAAACTATTCCATTCGCCTCCCTCAACGCCCGGAGATATTCCCAAAAACGACTGTAAAAGTCACGAAAATTCGCCTGGAGTCCAGGGCGACGTCTCAGCGAGCGGGCGACGCGTTTAATTTTTTACACGAGGTTCATTCAGCTCCGATCGAGATCGACGCCGGGACCTGTTATTACGCCCCCGGAACGGCCTATTTACGACACCGTGGACGTCGCCCTCCCCACCATCCCTCCTCTTTCACGGCCAAATGAAATTTTTTCCTTTCACGAAATCCTGTTACCACTGGGACCTCCCCGAGCTTGTTCCGTGGCCCCTTGGTCTCCCTGTTCTCCCTGTTACGGCCTCTATCCCATTATAATTCCGAGCATGCACGCTCGTCGCTCGTACGTCCCTCCCGAGAGATGGAAGAGTGTAAAACGTCGGACACCTGGGCAGAGAGTTTAGCCGGGGGTATTGTCAAGAGACAAATATGAGTTAATACGTCATCCAGGGACCTATTCACGGGGCCCAGCGCCGACGAGAATGGCGATCACGAATTGGCCGGCGTATAAATGTGTTTTAATTGTTCCCGGTGCCCTCCCCTTTCGCCTCCCACCACCCAATTCGTCTCTCGCTTTCTCCATCGTTCCACGTCGTGTCCCCTTCTGGCACGTTTCGCTCTCCGGGTCTTCTCCGTCTAGGCTCTGGACCAGGTTCGAGGAACGCCGCGCGGCTCGCAGAGACGAGCCGAGAGATGTGGAACATAATAAGAGACGGCGTTTGAGAATTTTTCTATTATCTTGTTGGCGCAGGACCGGCCCTTTTGTTGCGGTGGAACCACGTGCCAGGGTCTATAGAGGCATTCGGTGATCCGTTGTGATTCATGATGATCAGCACGTGGAGATAGTGTTATTAGCAAAAATGTGGGGAATTTTTTATTTTTCGGTGATTGAACGTTGTGAGGATTTGTTGAGTTTTAGTGAGATTGCTTGCACCTTGACTGCCACAGTGAAAAAGGACGTATGTAGCCAGACATATTTTATTTCGTTTTTTGAGTCATCAATCGTCAAAAATATATGCGGTTAGTTAACAAAGGCTGTTTGTCTTGTTTTAAATTATACTGCGATATTTATTTTGCGTAAAAATTTTGTAACGTTATTTAAACTAGCTAGCCTCTTTGCAATGTCTCAACTATGAGTTATCTCGTAGTTGGCAGTCGACGTGTTAACATAGATAACGTGGGTGTGCTGGTACCTATAGTTAGGCGGTGTAAACGTTTGAGCATTTGTTGGCACCGTGTCTTCTGATCTATGGTTTAAAGGCGAAGTTTTTCGATGTATTAACGATTGTCAGTCGATGCTAGAAATTCAGGCATTGAAGACTATTTTATTTCTGAAATGACTAATACCCGATATTAATAACAAACGTGACCGATGTACTGAACGTAAGTTTCTGTAAGAAGCGAGGCAATAGTTTAACAATTCTTTCGAATGTTCCGATAGATCGATGCGATTCCGAATGAAGACATCAGGACGAACGTCTTCATAAAATCGCGAACAGTTACGGGTGAACAGATAGCACGAATTTATACCCTTCGAACATATTATCCTCGAAGACGTCGGTGCTCATTTAAACTGGCATTATTTCAGCCGCCACACTTCAGTTATGAGCCATCGAACGTTCAAGCCGCCTTACTTCCCCGGTCA